CTGCCGACCGCCGGGGACGGCTGCGAGGCTGGAAGGAGCTGGCGGGGCGGTTCTCCTGAACGGGCTCTGAAGGCTGGGGAAATGGGGCCTTCTGGTTTCTCTGTTTGCTTCTGTGGCGCTGGTTCTCGGTTCGTTTGGGACCTGCCGTTGTCCAGGAGCTCCTGAAGTGCTGGAGTTGGGATCTTGCTGGCAGCCCCGTTCTCAGTGACTTTTCTGTTGTAGGAATCGTTCTGACAAGAGCCGGCTATTACACCATCCCGTCCATGGAGGAGCTGGCCAGGTCAACTGGTGACAGAAGGGAGTGTGTGGTGACAGACTTCACCATAGGCCGCAAGGGTGAGCACCTACAGCTCTTCCAGTTGCTGGAAGTTGAACCAGTGACTTCGGAGCTCTGGAGCTGAATCGGAGCTCCGTGCCCTGGAGTGATTACAAGTGGGGCCCTGGTGTGGTGGACAGCTTGCAGCGAAGGCTGGTCGTGCTTCAGACCGCTACCACCAGCAGCCTGTGTGAGGGGGTGACTTGAGAAGCCTGGCTAGGGGAACAAGAAAAGCACCTGCAGCTTTTAAGCCACCTCCTGTTCTTAAACATAAGTTGTAAAATCCAAACTTGCTGGAACGTTGGTGCAAACCTGGTTGTCGCTGCTTCCAGCTTACGTGGTACCTACGCTGGAGCTGACAGAGCTCTTGTGAAGAGCCTTCAGCCCAAACTGTATTCTTTACTGCTTTTATTTAAAAAACAAAGAGAAGAAAGGGCCAAAACCAAACAAAACCAAGGAAGAACTCCACCCCAGATGTGTGCACTATTGTTTAAAACACTTTTTCTAAAGATGCTGTACAGCTGAGGGCGCGCTTAGCGTGTGTGTGGGCAGGATGGATAGCCAAGTGGTAACAAAAAGGTTTCTGTGCGAAAGAATTGGCTATAAAAGAGTTGATAAGGCGACTTTGGTATTCTCACCCTGGGACAGGGTTGTTGCTTGTGCCTTGCTCTGGGGACAAGGTGGTGAGGTGGCGAAGGGAGGAGGATGGCAGGGACAGAGGTTGGCTGGTGTGCAGCTTGTTTCACGGACACACTGTGATGGTTTTGTTTGTTCTGCAGGTTATGGCTCGATTTACTTTGAAGGAGAGGTAAACCTGACTAACTTAAATCTGGATGACATTGTCCACATCCGCAGAAAAGAAGTGATTGTTTACCCTGACGATGAACGGAAACCACCCGTTGGTGAAGGGTTAAACAGGTAACGCAGGAACACGCGCTGCGTGGGGACAGGGGCTGCTGGGGGTGGGTTTTGTCACGTTGGCATCTGCTGCGTCTGCAGGCAGCTGCCGAGAACCCTGAATCGAGCTGGGCCTTCAGGTCGCGGCGTTATGCGCTTAATAGACACTTGCAGGTTTCTGAACCCAAAATTGGGGTTAAAAGCTGGTTTGAACCCACGTGTTCAGTTCTCAGCTCCTGTATGGGTCAAAACCTTGCAGTCTCTTCAACTTGTGTCTCTCCCAGACGAGCAGAAGTTACCTTGGATGGGGTCTGGCCCACAGACAAAACCTCTCGTTGCCTCATCAAGAGCCCCGAGCGCCTGGCCGAGATGAATTACGAAGGCAGGCTGGAGTCCGTGTCTCGGAAGCAGGGTGCTCAGTTCAAGGAGTATCGCCCAGAGACGGGCTCCTGGGTGTTCAAGGTAACGTCCTTGCTCTAGTGCAGAGTGCCTTACACGGCAGTCTGAAGTTAAGCGTCTCCGGAGAACTTGTAATCCAGACGCTTTGCGAGGCTTCCGTAAACAGTCTCAGGTGCTTTGGCTGGGGGGCAGCCTGTCCTCACCGCACCCAAGCTCCCTTCGGATAAGGCCTGCATCCAGCGCGTGTCCTTGGTCTGTACAGAAGCTGGGCTTGTTGCAGGCGTCACGGCCGCCGTCTGGGCGGGAGAGTTAACGCCAGCTCCTTGCTCAGGCCTCTCAGAAATGGATGCCTGGAACCTCTCTTCCAAGGTGTGACCCGTTTGCCCGTCTCGTTGCACAGGTCGCACACTTTTCCAAGTACGGCTTGCAAGATTCAGATGAGGAAGAGGAGGAGCGTCCTGCAAAAGTAGACGCAAAGAAGTTAAAAACTACACCCGTGCCACCCCCGGGGCACCTGCCGCCCCAGCAAATGGCCCTGAACAGCAAGCCGGCGCCTCAGGCTCAGGTAGGAGGACGGTGACCAGAGGGGAATTAACACAGTGGAGTTTGGAGAATAGCTGGTGCCTGGGGAGGGTCTGTTGGAGTAACAAGTGGGCCGGAAGATAAAGAGCAAAACCTTTCACAGACTTGTGCAAACTCAGTAGCTCCTCCGACCTCTTGAGGAGGGTTTGCATGTTCTTTTTCGTTAAGGTACTTGGCGTTTCGTACTGAGGGTGGGTGGGGGATGGGAAGGCTTGAAACCCGTGTTTCTTGTTTAAATTCTGGTCTAGAGTGAGCTTGGCATCTTTGCACTGCTTATGGAAAACCCTGCTTTTGTGAACACTGAGTATGTGCCGTATCCTGGAATCCCAGCACGGTTTGGGCTGGAAGGGGTCTTGCAGGTCATCTTGTGCAACCCCCCTGCCCTGGGCAGGGACACCTCCCACCAGACCAGGTCGCTCCCAGCCCCATCCAGCCTGGCCTTGAGCCCTGCCAGGGAGGGGGCAGCCACGGCTGCTCTGGGCAACCTGGGCCAGTGCCTCACCGCCCTCAGGGTGAAGAATTCCCACCTCATCTCTCATCTCAATCTCCCCTCTTTCGGCTGGAAACCGTTACCCCTCGTCCCATCACCTCACTCCCTGATCAAGAGCCCCCCCCTTTCCTGTAGCCCCTGTTTATAATTCCAGCCCCTCCTGCTGCCTGCCTCGGGGGTGGTACTGTGTGTTAATATGACTGGACCGTCGCTCGGTATGCCAGGCTGCGTGCTTTGCAGTTTAATGTGCTCTGTTTTTATTGAAAATGACTTTTTTAAGGCTGGCTCTATGCTGGGTGAAGTGCGTTTCGGTCGGGTGTGCCTGCTTCTGAAGCCCCATAGGACATCCTCAGAGGTGTGCCCCTGCCTCGT